CAAAACAGAAAACTTCGTAAATCTCTCGAGATAACCTCGACGAGGACTTGCTAAAGTATTTTAAGGTTCAAAGAAGTGTGAGCATCACGATAAGTGGGTCAATGTTGAAACTAAGGCGGCATGACCGATGTACACTGCAGTTGTAACGTTATAGAACATCCATTTTGAAAATAGGGAAACGGAATGTCAATAAAGGCTACCTTGGTTATAAAGAATCTTGGTCTTAACGACAATTTTTCCCTGGTCCCTTATATGACGTTATAACCGAGTTCGACTGCATTTTTTCCAATAATCATGGCGCTAACGATAGAAAACAACTTCCCAATGAGCAACGTTGGGAAGTTGTTTTCTTCTGTTCCCATAACTTGGCCCCAAGCTTTCTTTGGCTGCGGCTGCGAAGCACGTTGGCTGCTAGAAGTCGACGACGCATCACAAGGTCGAAACGCAGTTTTTCAGGCCACCGCACCGCCTGCTTGACCCTTCCCCTTCTTTTGACTTCTGGTGCCCTTTCTTCCTACTTAACTAACTCGTTCTTACAGTTAACTAGTAGGCGGTGTGAAAGCTGACTATACGAAAACATCACAACCTCAAAATCCCGAGTTCCAACCAATTGTCGGGACACGTACTTCTCGTGGAGGACGAAAGCCCCACCGACTCCATTGTTATTAACCGGAACCTCATCTAATATCCAAGGGTGGATTTTTTAACTATCCGATAATGCAGCTGTATTCCAGGGAAAACACATATTTCCTGGAAATAAAGCAGCATTATCGGATAGTTTTCAGTTCGAAAATCCATCCTAATACTTTAATTGAAAGAGGTCGAAAGTTGTGATGGCTGTCACTCCTAACGCGCGAGGCCCACAAGGCTCTGCCATTCTGGGCATCAAATTTAAAAGAGGCCGAAAGCGGTGGTGAATGATTGTCACTCATCCGCGGCCTAACACGCAAGGCCTACTAGGCCATGCCATAAGAACTTTGGTCTACTTTTAATCTACTTTTAAAAGACTCACCCAGTGGATGGCAATACTATAGGGTGTGTCAGGAGTCCTGCCCACTTTTGGAAAATTAATTACTTCGCAATGCTAGATTTAATTGAGACATGGTTTACACCATTCGAAAGAAGGTCATAATTCCCTATCAAGTAAAAAGTGTTGGCATTTTTTTCGATGGTATCATTTTTCCTGAGACGTAATTTGAATTCCTTTTTCGGGGGTCAATCAAAGGCGCTCACATTTGAAAACACGCCTGCGGCGCTGAGTCACGTTGTCTGTCGTGTGTCTGATGGATTGCGTCTCCAATGTGATCGATTTCAATTGAAAGGAGATGAAGGAAAATGACTGAGGAACGTCTAATTATCGATAATCGTGTACCCATTGCTCGGTTTTATTCCGAATTCGGCCGGAACGTAACGGGAACCACATGACAATTGGAGAAGAAATTCAACCGAAAAACCGTCAGCCGCAAGCCTATTGTCCGCATCAGTTAAAATTACGAGGCGTACAGGAATAAATAGCTGAATTTCTCCGATTTGGACGCCCACTATCGACGATGCCTAGGCCATCCACGGCCTAAAGCGCCAGGCTTACAGGGCTCTGCCATTCTAACATAAAGTAAAGAGTGTAACTGGAGGTGACACTCCGAAGGGTAAGGGGGGACGGGGGGTTGGAAATAGTACAGAGACATCTGGTGGCTTGTTATTAACAACACTACCATGAGGCGTGCTTCGTGGCAGCGGAATTAGGAATCGACTCGTTCGGGAATTCGACCCAAAGGGATCCATCAGCGTAACACCACTGAACTAAGAAAAAGAACTGGAGATGGCGCACAATTGAATGGATTTGCGGCAATTGGAAGCCATCTTAGTTGGGTCCGTGTTGGATCTTCTCCATTCACTATAATGGGATTTTTCATAATTTCCCATCCCAGTGTTCTTGCTGTCGTGATCATGATGGCAGGTAGTCATGGTACTGGAGGCCTAATAATTCTGGGGGAGTATCATAGGGCTGATAACGTCACGTCGGAACTCTTCTTTCATGTGGGCGAGTCTCCTATTTCTCGAGTGGGCCTCCAAGTTCCAGGCCTGCCTTTGCTGAGATTGATACAAAGACTACAAAGGTGATAACGTTACGCCGCCCTTGCATTATCACAGACGACGTATTTTACAGCAAGTCTAAGGCATTAAGTCAAACGAACTTAGAGAGAACGTTCAAAGGTAAACATAGGTTAAAGGAGACGAAGGGCGACCATGAGGTGCATGGTAGAGGTGTTGGCGGGTATTGGCAGGGCATGCTGGAGTATTCAGAAAGGCTGCTCCAATGTTCCCGCGGTACCTGCTCCATTACTCGGCCAATGCTCACCGCAGGCCCGCTTTATCCTGTTCCCAACCAATATGGCTTCAAAATGGAAAAAAAACAACATTTTCCTTATACCACTCCAATGGGCGCGCAATCTCCAGTTCTTTTTCTTAGCTCACTGCGTTACACGCGTGTCTCGTTGAGTCCGCTGTTCGGCCATGGAGGGGTAGTTGATGAGTGCACGCTAGGTGGAGGATCGACAGTGACATCCGGGGTTCTCTATATTGGACATTATAGGGTAATTTGGGGGAATATGGCCCTACAAAATGAAATCTGGTCATCATGGCCCATCAAGGTTGAATTAGACTTTACACTGTTTCTAAAATATTGATTGCTATCTCCTTTGCTAAATGCCAGCAATGCGTATGCAAAAAAAACCTATGGTTATGGCGTCTTTGGGTCTTTTTCGAGTAGGTCTCAAGATACCATATTAACCCTATAGTTGGGGGAATATGGTCACTTCTGAAAAAACAACTCCAGGTTGTCCAGGAACTTGTGAAATATACTGGAACATGCTGAGCATCTTGAAACATGATAAAGGACTCTCAGCAGTTGAAAAAGAAACACTAACTGCACCGAGGACAAACAAAGAAGTCGACATCATTACCTGACTCGAGGAACCATTGAGGAAAACAGGATTGCAAAGCTTTTGCTTTTGAGTAACAATGCACGTGATTAGGAGACAATATCTAGAGACTGTGTGTGTGTGTAAGAGGAGCGATCAAGCTTAGATTAAAGTGACTATGCGCAACGAGTCTAAATTAGAGGTCTTCCATTACAGGAAAAAAGTTGCTTTGTTTTTGCATGCATGGATAAATAGTGCCAAAAATCACAGAATCCCCTATTTGTACGAGGGATATTTATTTGCATTCAAGTTTCATGCAACAAAAATTTCTGGAAAATGTCAAGCAATGCAGAAGGGGGTGCATAAGCATACCCTCATGCACGGCCTCCTCATGTACGAGTACTGCATATTTCGTCCAGATGTCCAGTATGTCTATCCATATATCCATAGGAAGCGCATAGTATGATCGTTTTACTGCCTGAGGTCCCTCATGAAAGGAAGCTGACACTACCAATAGGTCAATGCAGTGCTACCATTAAATGAAGCATGTGTTCATACAACCCCAAATCGAGATGGCCATATTCCCCCGTATTGACTTTCATGACAAAATTGGATTTTGTCATGAAAAGGGAAAACGCAGAGAAAACGCATATTTCCTGTAAATAAAGCAGCATTATCGGATAGTTCTCTGTTAAAAAATCCACCCCAAATCTCTAACATTTTGCGTTTCGAAGTTATACACTTTTTTTTGCAGCCTTCTAAACAATTTTAAACAATTTTGTCACACCCTCCGGAGCGAAAGTGTTAATTGACACAGCTCACTGTGAATGCTTGTCGCATTTCCACCAACCGACTGCAACTTCTCTGCTTGAATATATTCCTTGTTGGTGCATTGTTTCACTGTGAAGTTAATTTTTTTTAGGTCAGGAGCGGCGGTTCGCGCCGTCGCAACCATGAAAGGCTTTCCTGCTTGCGTTTTATGACTTGGCCGATTTTTTTAGCTTTCACGATTGATGAAGGTCTGTGTTCGCCATCCTGGGCAGTGGACTCAAGTTCGGCAGATGGTGTTCGGCACTTAGCCCACCGATCTCGCACGAGAGGCTTAATTTCTGCCGGTCATTTCAGATGGAAAGATACTTTTAGGAAGGCTCTTGGAAGGCATGCGGAAGACGTGTCAGAACCAATCGGCCTGCGATCTCTCATCCGAATGCGTATCCGCTCGACACGGAGAATCTCACGGATGGCGGGGCACAACATCCTCCTACTCGGCGTGAAATCCGACACTCGCTGGAAGAACCACATCTTGTATCCGCGACCTGATCCTTTCTGTCATTAACAAGAGTTCATGATCATTTGTGAAGGTTGGGAGGTAAACACACTTAAAAACTGAAAGTTTCGCCTCCTTAGAAATGTCCGATTTGGCAACCACAGTCCTTCGGAGTTTTGACAGGTTATTTCGAAACATTCACAGTCAGTCCTTGAAATGAAAAGACGCTAATGTCCCTGGGGGCAAAATATGTCCTCCACAACGCTAATGAAAACTACCACGAGTGTAACTACCGACAGTATGAGATACTTGGGTTCGTGAACCACAGACACAGAGGTCCTTGCAATCGCATTATTCCTGGTCATGCTTTTTTGCATTCAAAACAATTCGAAGGTTACCAGTGCGTGCGGGTTAGATACCCCGCCTATGCGGGGATGCCCTGCCTATGCGGGAATGCTCTATGTTGCATTATGAGCGACAAAGGGCGATTAGATGGGAAAAATATATCTGCATGCAACTTTTACTTCAGAATCTTCAATAGTTTTGTAGCTGTACCACATTACCGTTGTACCGCCAGCATGGAATTAGCCTACCTGACTGAACATCATGCGATCAGACGACCATTCAAGGGAGATTCTTTCCATTGTTTAGCCCCCCCATCCCTCCCCGATCCTCTTTCACACTCGTCCATATATATGTCCACTTCACGGTCCGATGGACATTTATCGACTCCCTCGTTCCCATCTGCCTCGAATCGCTTGACGCTGAAATGCCTCTCGTTGCGAGTTAATAGAAATAAAGTCGAACAGAAACGCAGTATAAATCGTCTTTTTATCTTATGATACATCCAATTATGCCACGCTATGCTGTAAGTTCAAGCAAAAATCGGCAATAAAAATTAATCAGGACGAATTAAAGGCAGAGATTGATCCGTACGGAAAGGCTTCATGCTCTGCACTCGGAAATTTTTCCTCTTCGGGACGGTGAGGTTGAGGCCAGCGGATTCGTCTCGCTACTTGTCCCGCATGAAGTAGGAGAGGACGTCGATGGGGAGAGGAAACAAAATGGTCGAGTTCTTCTCTGCACTGATCGACTGGAGGGTCTGAGAAAACAAAGAGAAAGCAAGATCAAAATTTGAAACAAAATTCGGAGAAAAATTGGAGTCAAAACGGAGAACGTTTCTGTCGGTGTACTTTTTATCACCGACGATGAAAGTGTTTTGAACGAGGAGACGACACGAAATTGACAGGCAGGAGAAACAGGTTAAACGATTACGCGCATACTTTCGATCGACTTTCATCGATAAAAAAAAATGGCCCTGAATCCATTCCGAAATATCAATACCTTCCACTTCCAGCCCTGCCTTCGCTCACTATCATTTTGTAATGTAATTTCTGATTAAATGTCGTCGTGGGGTTCAGGGAGAAGGGACTATAATGTCCTTTCTGCAATTCCCATGTAAATGTTATCAGAAATTAATTCACATAAAAGACAAAGATGCGCATATCTGCATGTGACTAGACAATGAACTGCCCCGACCAACTGAATTAAAAATGAGATAAGGATGCATGGATCACCTGCCAAGGGGGGAAGGGGGAAGGGGGAAGGGGGAAGGGGGAAGGGGGAGGGGGAGAGAGAGGCGGCCTTCCAAGTCAAACATTCAGATACGGAATTCTACCTTTTCTTTGTCATCGAGTCTGACAATTACGAAGGTTACTATTAAAGTTCTACCCGGATTTCATCTGCTGGTTGAAAACGATTGGTGGCCAGCCATTCGGCGACTAAGTGCCGGTAGAAGTCAGAAATCTGATGGCGGGAGATTTTTACACGAAGCAGTGATAAGGTGGACGCGACAGAACTCCAGTGTAATATTAACCGTGATGGGCATCATCCCCGAGCAACAGCACCCCTTGCCGTATGAAATCAGGTCTCTTTTTCTTCGACACCGGGTGGAGGTACTTTGTACCAAGAGTACATGGTACAAAGGGGTATCTAGTACCAAGAGTGCAAGGTACCAAGAGGTACCTTGAACGACTTCTTTCCAGCACTCAAGCGTCTAATGGCTGGCTGTTACCCGATTTCAATCGAAAGATTATGCGCAGACACGAGTTGCCGATTCTCTTGCGAAGAACCGAGGTAATTCCTTCTTTTTCATTTCCTATTCATTTTATTTTTTTATCTCTAATCCCGCAACACGGGATTAGAGATAAGATAAATGCTGCGCAGTTTCATGGGACTACGTGGGAAGGGCACGTAGTCCAGAACAATTTCCAGTAAAAAAACCACCTAGTTACCAATGTTCTCTTGTAAAGATTCCCGGAACCTCGGAATAGCAACCCTCGTGATTTCATCGATAGGTATGATGCCTCATTCGAAAGATCTCATTCGCTCCGTGTAATGGTATCTGGAGTGAAGAGAGGCGTGGGTGCAGCGAATCCAGAGAGAACCTTTACACATTTGAGATGCGAGAGATTCCGATCGAGTTCTCATTCTCATAAGGTAGCAAATCTTTAACGGAAGAGATTTCCTCTGGTCGCGAGCAGAATTCCGTGCCTGCGTAACAGTGCATAGGAAACAGCGGCGAGAATCTCGTGATGTATGGGAAAGATTTTTAGATAGAAAATATGGGCCTGGATATGAAGCTGAAAATGATTGCATTGGCTTACAACAAAATCGAGATATACACGAATTCTTGGACTCATGGTAGGACGGAATCTTGGTACAGGATAAAAAATTGAATAAAAACTATTCTCGGCTCTGATGAGAAGAACGGGATTAAAAAAAAAAAAAACAACTGATAGAAATAACACTATAGTTGGGAGGGGAAGACGCAAAAAAAAGATCGGACCTGAAGGTATCTGAGTTGAAGGGCAGCAGGGGATTCGGCGATGATGTCCGAGGCTTCTTTGAGTGCCCTCGAGGCCTTCTGTTCTCCCTCGGCGGCGATCACCTTAGCTCTTGCTTCCCGGGAGGCTTCGGCTTCGGCCGCCATAGCTCTCTGCAGCTGCACCGGCAATCGCACGTCTTTTCTATGAGTGAAAAAGAAGCGGTTTTTTTTTTCTCAAGGTGGGCTAGGAACTGGAAAATGTATGCAGAGAGCACGTGAACTGCCGCGCCCGTCCTGATCGTTTCAAGTGTCGACGACGCCAAACGCGCCTATAAACTAGATCGGTGAAAAGCTTCCGTCGGGGGACTCGAGCTGCTTCCCCGCGGTCAAATGCTATATGCTACATCACGCCTATCATCTTTCTTCTTACGATACACTCGGATGTATCCAATACGAAAATATCGCGTAGAAGCTTACGGCGCTATGAGACCGTGTTGGACACGGGAAATAGCGTCTAGTTTTTTATCTTGCCGTAGAATCAAAGATTCCCATAGCGTCGCCACCAGACTTTACGTCTTGCGAATGAAAAATAAACTCACATCTCGACGCGTTCCACTTTGATGCCCCAAGGATCGGTTGCCTCATCCAACCCCACCTATATCGATGGAATCGATTCGAACGTGACGATCCCGAAGAATATTCGCTCATCGTTGAAAAAAATCTCAGGGGGAGCACGGTAACTCAGTCCTTACCTGAAGACTGTGCGAGATGGTCTCTCGATCGCCGAGGACGTCTTGGAGATTTCTCGTGCCAAGGACGTTCCGGAGAGAGGTTTGTGCCAGGAGACGGGTGGAATGGTGAGCGTTTGCCACGTTGGCGACCGAAGCCGTGGGGTTAGAGATGCGATAGTAGACCACCGCATCCACACTCACAGTCACGCTGTCTTTGGTCAACACCTGTCGCGTGTATATTTACATTTGTATGCGGCATGTGCTGCGTAAATTTACACAGCTAGATGAGCAAAGATTTTACGGCTACGGACTCTAAGGATAACCACGTCATGTTTTGAAAATGCATCTCACGAGACGGAATATTTGAAAACCTGACTCAGCTCAAGAGCACAGCCTAGCAGCCTTTAGGCCTCGTCCACACCAGAAAGTTTTCTAGCATAGAAAAATGAAAGAATGTTTAAAAAAAAATAGCGATGTTTTTTAAATAAATCTTTCGAAGAAACTTCCCAGAGCATTGAAAATCCCGCATATAAACCTTTCAAAGACGCCCTCACCGCGAAAGCTTTCATCGCAAATCGACTTGGAAAGTGAGAGAAAACTGAACGGCACTGACGATCCCTCAACCACGAAACAAGATCGCCACCCTCACCTCCTGCGGAGGAATGTCGAAGGTCACCGTCCGAAGATCCACCTTCGTGTATGCATCGATGCACGGAAGGATGAAGAAGAGCCCTAAGGATCATTTTCGTTCGTTCATCAGTCGGATCGTTCTCGGAAAGTCTCCTTAATTAAGAAGGAAAGCAAAACTTGCCGGGTCCCTTTGCACCGCCAGAAACGAGGCGCCCGAGGCGAAAGATCACCGCCCTTTCGTATTCCTGGACCATCTGAAAGGAAGAGAGGAAGCTTTCGAGATGAATCAGGCACGGATTCCATAAGCACTGTTCGCCGAATCAGCCATTGAATCTGAACCTGGGTAGTAGTTACCCTATACGATCTGAAATTGTATGAAAATAATAACCATTTGACGGTGGGTTTTTTTCCCGTGCATTATTAAAAACTTGATAGTCGGAAGACTTTACAGAATCGACAGTTTTACCTTCTTCCATCCGATCATCGTGTTTCCTTTCCGAGCAAAGGGCAGCGCCAGTGGTGCTGAGGGTGATTATGTCAACCATTCAGCCGTCTTCGTTTATTGGGAATGAGAGAGGACAGATAAGGATGAGAAAAATAGAGGTCTTCTGGGTGGAAGTGAGAAGGCGAACAAGGGAGGCTGTTTTCCTCGAAAGCGAAATTGGCATAGTTGCCCGATGGCGTTGCGGCCGACTGTTAAAATCTGTATTTAAAAAAAAATAGGAGTATTTCCGAGTGAAGCACAGGAAACTTTGCTGCCGTCAACGGGAAGGAAATGGGAATTCCGGTATGATAGCAGAATCGATGTGAGCTGTTTTCCTACGTAGTCATGCTGTTGCGAGAAACCTCCGGAATCCTCCGTTCGGGAATCTCCAGCTTGACATTCGTGATCGGCAAACAATGAGTAAAACAAACAAACAGTTTCGCATACGTTTTTCTGCGAATTACTCCACGCAAAGCATCGGAGGAGAGAATGTCAGAGAATAAAATATCACGAGCCGTCACTGTCGGACGGTACGCTTCATCTCAAATTTCTATTCTGCTTTGCTGACTGGCTTCACGAAAAGCTCGAAAAGCGGAAGTGGCTTTCACATCCACATCCTCTCAAGGAACCTCGTGGAACCACGTCCTGAGCACGACTTCATCGGCACATCCGCACGTTCTCGTCACGATAAAAGGAAGAGACATGGGGAGGAGGTTTCGCAGAATTTTTTCTTCTCGTCGTAAAAAGACATCTCTTGGTCACTTACCATCAGTTCAGTGCTCTCCTTTCGTTGAAAACAGACACTTATTCGAAAACGCAGCCGTACGGCGTACCCTCACCCCTTTCACTTGTGGATGGGGTCATGTTCATTCCCTTTTACCATTTTCCAAGGGTCACTTCTCACTTCTGTCCTCTCCAACCCAGGGTGAACCTCGTGCGACTTTTTCTTACAAGCCACTGCCGCATTCCCATCGTCTATCCAACGGAGCGGGGCCAAATCGAATCGTTCCGAGCGCGTCCTCAGACTCGATTTGGTGCATGTGTCGGCAAATCGAATCGATCCACGATTTCGTCCCAAAAAGGTCGACTCGACGCACTTCTGGACCATACTCATATCCCTATTTTACGTTATGTTTCCCAGTATTTCTGGACTACTTTCCATTACCTAGCTTGCAAAAAACATCGAAAACATTGACCGGGAAAGAAATGTCTTAGCTGAAATAAATATGAATGATAACATTTTTGAAGAGCCAACGAAAAAAAGCACAGAAGCTTTATATGGGTGCTTCGCTTTTGCCCACATTCGCATTTTGCCACTTGACCTGAGCCATTAGCACTTCCCCACTGCGACGGAGAGCGGCAACACTGGAAGACGCGATTTCTAAATCGAAGAGTAATGTCGTACTATAAAGACAGCAGATACGTCTGCCGAAATGCGAAAGAAATAACAAAGTACAGGTACTGCCTCGTTCGCAATGGGATCCAGAGGGGCCCTTTCGCATTTTTTCACCTGCTCAGTTCATCACCAGCCCCCAAACATTAAGTGGGGAAATGTGAAGCCCCACACAGGATCATTCTCGCTTCCCCACAAGAAACTCGGCATTTACACGGTGAGACCCCAGTGAGAAAAAAAAAACCGGAGGAAGATGCTACAGCATCAAGAACTTCTCTTGAAATCGAATGCTGACCTAGCATCTGGAGCTATTTCACTTCGTGGCTTCATGAGAAATGTCCGTTGCGTACTGTCTTTTGAGAGGGAGTGGTGATCTGAGAACGACTGGAAAATCAACGACTGCGTTGCCGCACTCCTTGAGGAAGTGTTGAAATGCGACGAAAATGCGAAGTGGGCAAATGCGAGTGTGAGGAAGTAGTAATAATCCCTTTTTATTACTGGGAACTGGTATCATCTTGACAACGTGTGACGAACTGGGACTCCGAATCTAGCCATGACCTCATCGAGGTCGTGCATTCCTGTGTAGCCATATATCATAAGCGAAGAAAATGCAGAACTCCTGAGTCCCGCCAGCACTGAAAGGGTGGAGGTGGAGGTGGAGGGTGGAGGTTTCGTTTTCATTTCGTTTGCGATTCGCACTATTTCATTGGAGCATTTCCCAAAGCGCTTGCGATTCATCCACCTGTGACACCCGATGCCGTGCGGGATGGAACCTCGGATCCAAAATATGTTCACCTGCCCCATAAGATATCTGCTTCCCGGGATTACCACGATAAACATGGCCTCGAAGATAAATGAAAAGTGAGCCCCGTCCCGACGGCGAGGAATGACGGCAGACACCCGTGCGTCTTCATCGCTTCCAACGCGTCTGCATTCCGAGCTTCTTCGTTCCCAGTCGGACTTCCCATCCCCTCCGCCACCGGGGGGGGGGGGGGGGGGGGGGGGGGGGGGGGAATTCATGAATGTAATAGTCGTAGAATGTAAATAGTCTCTGTTCCCCGGGGGGGGGGGGGGGGGGAAGAGGAGAGGACGTACAATAACGAGAGAGTCGAACGCGACGAAGAAAATCAAATGCGTCGTTGTGCTAGATCTTGGACTCGAGAAAAGCGCGTTAAAAGAAAGAAACTTTACTTTACCCGTACAGAAAAAGTTTCAACATGTTGAAATTGAAACCGGTGAATCAACGTTGATTCAACGGTGAATAACCGGTGAGATTTTTGTACGGGGAGCCAGACGACTGCCACAAAGTTGCATTTCCTCTCTGGTCTACGGACCATGACCATGCATTACGCACTTCCACGTGCAAGATATTCATTTTATTGCCAACCATCGATGCATTTTCCTCAAAAGTCCAACATCCATCACAGCGACGTATTTGATTTTCTTCGTCGCATATGACTTTCATATTGACGTATTTGACTTGGAAAACCTATAAAGCCCAAGAATCGCATGCGCGGTTAAAGGAAAGAATGTGGCCTTTCAACATCACCTTTTCGGTCGCACGAAGACGTCCAAGACCTTTCACGCCGTGACCGAGAACTCGAATACTCAAAATCCACTTTTTTGGATCTAATCGGAATATATCGGAATATATATTTCTACCCGTATCTTTCGATACGGGTAGAAAAAAAAAATTCTCTGGATGGACCCAGAGAGATTCCTAGCAGCGACCACGCAAAGGGACATTCTCCGATCTGGCTTCGAAGCGGAGACAGCAAGCCTCTCCACGACTCCACATTCGAGGATTCCTTCCCCACGTTTAATGAGACGTGGCCACCGACGAACCCTGTCGTATCTCTGCCCAGTTCCCTATCTCTCCCCGCTGCCTACCGCTTTCTTTCATTCCGAGTCGAACGAGATGCTGCGCTTTCGGAAAGGGAAATCGAAAAGACATGCTCGTAGACTGATACCGTAGGCGTATCCGCTGGCTCTCGTCTGGTTCAGATCCACGGGGGAAAGTTCCCACACGTACGACTGTCCCAATCACTAGGGCCTACGATCACTTTTATCACAATCAGAAATCAATATGGACCTATCAATAGTGCCTAACACGAACGATATATTTGACGTGAAACTTCAAATAGTTTATTTTGAATATCTGTAGTTTCTCAATATTTTTTTTCCTTCCTTTTCTTTTCCCCCCTCTCTTTTCAGTGCCATTCCACTGTACATATTCATTCGCACAGAAAATTGGAGAAACTTGTTTTTCCTTATAGTTTCATGACGTCTTCTAAAAGGTGTTCATGTTTTTATAGCCATAGCAAATCGCTCGCACTGGTAAAAGCTAATGGCATCCTTGTCTTATCTTCTTGAATTCTCTTTGTCTTCCAACGAAACTTGTGAATTTTTTCCTCATGCTGATGGAGATTGAGGGTCTCCTATGCAAGGTGGGAATGAAGGCCACCGCCCAAGCGGATGCTGCATCTCGCTCATCTCAATTCTCTCGATTGTTCCGTCGACTGAGCCAAACTACAAGAGCTCACAACTTCTGAATCGATGGAGTGGGGGGGGGAGGAGTCTGTCTCTCCTAGGTCGTTCCAGTCAGAGGGTTCTAAATAGGCGAGAAGTCACCGGACGCCTTTGGTAAAAATTGGTAGAAATTACATTCATCATATGCGATGCTTGGATGCACAGATGAGAAAGTCAATCCCCTTACTATGCCTCTGCAGGCTTCATAGAAGCCATCGGAAAAATCAATCAAAATCACTGTATTTCACGACGTAGATCTGCTGCTCCATTACATTAATCGACCGCCTCATCGATTTCAGTTTTATTCAGACTTAAAACGACAGAGATTAATCGAGCTTGAATCGAAGTAGTCGGCATTTAAGATCCCTCGTCTCGTCGTATCGTTCCATCGACACTTTTCCTGACCATGTTTCGAGATGGAACCATGGATGGATTAACCCCTTCACGGTCATGGCTCAACTATTCGCGATTGCAATATGGCTGCCTCACTGGTTACGATGTAAATATTCGTCGGTAGAGAGAAAAAGAAATAATTGAAATCCACCCATCCGAAGCTAGAATTGTTTTTTTTTTTGTATTATGCTTTAAAAACCCGACCTGGTAGCTCCAGTCTAAAATATTAAACAAATCCGACCTTGAAAGGGTTAAAGATTCAGTTCATAGAAGAAACTGTCTTCACTAATTGAATTCACATTTTGATCAATTAGAACTGTCTAGACATCACCTATGAAAATGGAAGCCAATTGAGCACTAATGGAATCTACTGAAGAATTCACAATTTGATCACTTGAATTCACATCTTTTTTCCTTTTCTCCTCTCTTATCAGATATCTTCTTGAAGCTTGGAA